TCATGGCCTCAGTCTGTAAAATCCGTAATCAAACCTGCCTCACTTGACCTTCAGGAGCTGCTAAAGTGCTGCAAAGGATTTCATTAGTCTGAATGGATATGATAGTTTTACTATTCAATGAACAAAAGACACTTCTGCACAGAATGGATTCTTGAAATAGAAGGAAATTAATGCGGTCATATTTAAAGGGGACCTGTTACGGAGATTTCCAGCTTCGTACTTTTTATTCTTGATTCTACCTGAGCAGCTTCATGTGATTCACGGTTCACAGTAATCCTTTTTTTGGATGTTCATGAGGCTGTTAGAAACAAGCTGTTTTAGCAAACTTTTGGTTGACTGACTGGGGGACATACTTAGATTACTTTGCTGCAACATGGCCTGAAAAGCACTGTCACATAATTACCGTATTTTCCGCACTATAAGGCGCACTTAAAATCCTTTAATTATCTCAAAAATCGACAGTGCGCCTTATAAAACTGTTTTAGTACGACTTTGGTAAGCTACGAAGCCGAACCGCTTGATGGATTGTCGGAGCATTACGGCTACTGTAGTCAGGAGCCTTGCGGAGTAATCTGAGTCCAAAACTCTGTCTGCTTCAGATCCCAAAGTCAAACAAATATTGCGACATCACTGAGAGTTAAAAACTGTCTAAATTCTTTCATCTTTAATAAAATGATCAGCGTTGCTGCTTTACCAGGTGTAACAATTAAGTTTAACATCCAGGCATCCATGAAAACAGAATTCATTAAATTTAACAGAGTTAGAAGTTAGCAGGAAGTTAGCAGGCTAGCTTCCACCTAAACATGATATAGCATGTTCTGACTGAGAGATTTCTAAAAAAAATTAAAATGTACAGCTTTGCTATCACTTCCAACTTAAATGAAGACAGAAAACTAAACAGCACTGAGTTTTGTAGGGTTACTGAAGTTGGGCTAGCTGGTTTATAATGATGTGCTACATGATCGCTAGCAACACAGCTATGTTAGCATAACATTAACAGTGAAGCTGGAGGATGAATGCTAATGTTTGTTTCGCTTAATGGGCCTTATAATTCGGTGTGCCTTATGTATAAAAACAGACCCGTTCATCGACAGTGTGCCTTATAATCCGGTGCGTCTTATGGTCCAAAAAAAATACGGTAGCAGACAACTACGTCAACCTCATATTGCATTTCAACACACCAACAGGAAATAACCTTCCTTTGAGGAAAGAAAAGATGAGCTTTCGGGTTAATGTGTGATCACAAAGCCATTAAAAAAAAAAAAAATCACATGTGCTGTATATATATGTGTACACACACACACAGTACCACAGAACAATAATCCAGACAGTTAAAGCTTATTACACTGCGACCTGCTGCTCACTGATGGCTGTTTCCCTCCAAGTCTAGTGTATTTACATGAGGCTGTAACTGCTTTCTAATCGTCACACAACTTTTAAATAAAGTGCAGCCGTAGGTGAAGCAGTTACACAGAAGAAACTCTGATAGACAGGGTGATACTATATAACGCACTAGGGCTGCCACAAACGACTAGTCACCGATTACTTTTGCAATTAGTCGACTAATCAGATCAT